CCTGTAGGCAGCATATTGTTGGGTCTTGTTTTGTGATCCATTCTACTAGCCTGTGTCTCTTAATTGGTGAGTTTAAGCCATTAACATTTAGGGTTATTATTGAGATATGGGTTGTTCTTCCAGCCATATTTGTTTATTTATGTTACTAAACATGGTTTGTTTTCCTCTCTGATTATTTTTCCCTCCTTTACTGTCCTACCTCCCACTGTTGGTTTTCATTGTTATTTTCCATTTCCTCTTCCTGTAATGTTTTGCCGAGGATGTTTTGAAGAGATGGCTTTCTAGCTGCAAATTCTTTTAACTTTTGTTTATCTTGGAAGGTTTTAATTTCATTTTCCATCCTGAAGCTTAATTTCGCCGGATACACAATTCTTGGTTGGAACCCATTTTCTTTCAGTGTTTGAAATATGTTATTCCAGGCTCTTCTAGCTTTCAGAGTCTGTGTTGAAAGATCAGCTGTTATCCTGATTGGTTTACCCCTAAATGTAATCTGCTTCCTTTCTCTTGTAGCTTTTAAAATTCTCTCCTTATTGTGTATGTTGGGCATCTTCGTTATAATGTGTCTAGGTGTGGATCTCTTATGATTTTGCACATTCGGCGTCCTGTAGGCTTCTAGGATTTGGGATTCTGTCTCATTCTTCAAGTCTGGGAAGTTTTGTCGTATTATTTCATTGAATAGATTGCTCATTCCTTTGGTTTGGAGCTCTATACCTTCCTGTATCCCAGTGACTCTTAAGTTTGGTCTCTTTATGTTATCCCATATTTCTTGGATGTTCTGCTCATGGTTTCTTAACAGTCTTGCTGAGCTGTCTATGTTCTTTTCAAGTTGAAATACTTTGTCTTCATTGTCTGATGTTCTGTCTTCTAAGTGTTCTACTCTGCTGGTAGTATTCTCAATTGAGTTTTTAAGTTGGTTTATTGCTTCCTGCATTTCTAGGATTTCTGTTTGTTTTTTATAACCTCTATCTCCCTGTATAGTTGATCTTTTGCTTCTTGGATTTGTTTATGTAATTCATTGTCGAAGTGATCTTTCATTGTCTGATTTTGCTGTCCAATGTCTTCCTTGAGACTCCAGATCATCTGAAGCATGTATATCCTGAATTCTTTATCTGACATTCCATCTGCTGCAGCTGTTACCTCTTCTAAAGTTGAGTTGACCTGCATTGCTTGTGGTCCTTTCTTTCCTTGTCTTTTCATATTGTTCGCGTTTCTTTCTGCTTGGTGAAACTGTTGTGTTATTGAATTTCCCCCCTATATATTTATATTGCTCTCACATAGTTGCAAAGTCTCCCTCGCAGGCGCGGGCAGCAGCTCTGCCCCTCCTCCAATTTGGGCAATGTGCCTACCACGCCGGCGGGCCGCTGGGCCTGTTCTGCCACTTAGTAGCAGGTCCACCTACCTTGCAGGCGCGGGCGGTGGCTCTACCCCTCTGCGGGCCGCTGGGCCTGTTCTGTCTGTCAGTTGCAGGTCCGCCTACCTTGCAGGCGCCCGGTGGCTCTGCCCCTCCCCCAACCGGGGCGATGTGTCTTCCACGCTGGAGGGCTGCTGGGCCCGTTCTGCCTGTGGGTCGCAGCTCCGCCTACCTTGCAGGCGCGGGGGGCGGCTCTGCCCCTCTGCGGGCTGCTGGGACTGTTCTGCCGGTGGGTCGCAGGTCCACATCTCAGGTTTTTGTCCGGTGATTGAAGACTGAGAACAAACCCTTAGGTTCCTGAGACGGGGACTCTCTAAAGATGGAATCCTTAGAGAAAGAGGCTGTATTAATAAAGACTCACCCACTATCACAGGGAGATGACAAGGGACCTCACCTAAGTCCTTTTTCAATATTCAAAATCATAGATTTAAAATTTACAGTGCCTGATCTACATTGAACCCTGAGGGCCTGTGGATTAAATTCAGGAAGTCTATGAACTTGGATGGAAAGCAAAGTGCATTCTTTTGGGAAGCAGGGGGCAGTGGGCAGTGCTTGGGATTGAACCCAGGGCCTTGCACATGGTAAACAAGCACAGAGTTACATTCCCACCCCCCACCCTTGCTTTTTTTTGAGACAGGGTCTTACTAAGTTGTCCAGGTGGCCTTGAACTTACAGTCCTTCCGTCTCAGCCTTGCAAGTCGCTGGAATTACAGGCATATACCACCAAACCTGGCACAAATTGTATTCTTATTTTCATTAGTGTCTTATTGGAATTAACATTTTCATTAAGTTCAAATGCAGGCAGCAAACCACAGTAATAGTATTAATAGTACTTGTGACCAGATTGTGACCAGTGGAAAGCAAGTGTTTTTATATCAAAATATAGTACATGCATGTTTTGATAAGCTTGTTTCAGTATAATTGAAAAATTATAGAGATGCTTCTAAGTAATTATTGGACCAAAGAAGAAATCACTTTTGAATATTTAAAAATATTTAGAAATTAGAAAATTATTCTGTATCAAGTGTAGGCATAATGTTTTAAAATAAAGAAAGATGGAAAATGAGTGAGTTAATTTTCAATTCAAGAATTTAGAGAAAGACTAACAGAGTAAACCCAAAGATACTGTTAGCAAAAATAAAAACAGAGGGCTGGGGTTGCAGTTCAGCAGTAGAGTGCTCGCCTAGCATGTGCAAGGTGTGCGAGGTGCTGGGTTTGATCCTCAGCACCACATAAAAATCAATAAATAAAATTGTGTCCAACTGCAACATATACACACACACACATGTATGTATATGCATATATATGTTAAAAAATAAAAACAGAAATTAATAAAACAGATGAGGAAACAAGAGATGATCAGAGTCAAAAGTTGTTCTTAGAAGAGATTAATGAAAAGAGAAACACTTGTGTCAAGGGTTGTCAGGAAAAAAGAATTCACAAGTAAGCAGTATTGGACAGGAAAAGAACACAGATATGGTATAGCATTGAGTTCAGAAGAGAATATAGTGAATACTTTTATGGTGGTAATTTTGAAAACTCGGGGGAAAAAAATTAAGTTTCCCAGAAACATGTAATTTAACAAAACTGACCCAAGAGGAAGTAAAAGCATGTAAGAAAGTAACCAAATATAGAATGAACATTTAAAAGACTGCAAAGGCTTGGCGCACAGTGGCGCACGCCTATACTCCCAGCAACTGAGGAGGCTGTTGCAGGAGGATAGCAGGTTCAAGGTCAGCCTCAGCAACTTAGTGAGACCTTGTGTCAAAATGAAAAATAAAAAGGGCTGGGGATGGAGCTCTGTGATCAAGTGCTCCTGGGTTCAATCCCCAGCATAATGAATGAGTGAATGACTATGAGTAGCCATGCATTCATTCATTCATTCAACAAATATGTATTCTGGGATATGTACAGGTGGTGTTGTAGGTGCTGGGGAAACAGCAGGAGATAAAATAACCCCCCCCCTCTTTAAAAAAATAAATAAATAAAATAAAACAAAATCCATCTTCTACGTCAGCACTATCCAGTAAGACTTTCTACAATGGTGGAAATGTTCTTTATCTTGTCTGTCCAACACAGCAGTTACTGGCCACATGTAACTGCTGTGCCCTTGAAATATAGTTAGAGCAACTAAAAAAAAATGAATTTTTAACTTTATTTAATATTAGTTTCAGTATAAATAGCCAGATATAGCCATTGGTTACCTAGGGTATATCTCTAGCTATTAAGATCAGTAATGTGGTGGTGGCTTACAAGCAACCTGTGGTCTCCTGTAGGAGAAGGAATTAGACTGTTTGGATCCTGGCCTTTCTGGGGTTTTGTTTGTTTTGGTTTGTGGGACCGGGGGGGGGGGGGGGGGGTTGCTTTGCAGTGCTGGGGGTTGAACCCAGGGCCTTGTGCATGCTTGGCAAGTGCTAAACCACTGAGCTATGTCTTTTTTGTTTGTTTGGTACTGGGAATTGAGCCCAGGGGCACTGTACCACTGAGCTACATCCCAGCTCTTTTTGAGACAGGGTCTCACTTGGTGGCTGAGACTGGCCTCGAACTTGTGATCCTCTTGCCTCAGCCTCCTGAATCGCTGGGATTACAGGTGTGCGCCACAGCACCCAGCCTGATCCATCTTTGAACCAGCATCTTGGTCTTCCTGAGCTATCCTGGTAGCCAAATGACACTTTGTGTTTTGCCCACCTTGTTACTGTATAAAAAACATTTTCTTTATCTGCTCCTTACTTCCCCTTGGAGTCTCAGAAGCCTGGGAGTCTTGGATTAGCAGGCTTTTCTTGGTGCTTACTCTGTAGTAGCCGTGCCCTGGTTCTTTTAGGCTATACCAGGTCACCTGTGGCATGTGGTACACACTAAGCACTTGGAATTAAATACTGGGCAAGTGAATAGGGAAAAATCAGTGAGCTTGTTGAATGAAGGGCTGTTTCTCTCAGGTCCAAGTCAGCCATGTGTAGTGAGGGAATGGGCAATAGTAAGCCCAGATGCCTGGCCCTGGTGGGCATACTGACTGGGAGGGCCCTTCATGGTCTCTAGCCAAAAGCGTTAGGAAATAAAATGAAAAAATATTAATCCAAGAAATATCCACAGAAAATTTTAGTCTGCTGGGTACTCTTTTTTTACAGGTGAGTGATGTGTTTCAGACTCAAGAAGACAAAGTGAAGCTACGTGGATTGTGGAAAAAATGAATTCAAGACTATTTCTTTGTAAAATTCTTAAGTTCTTTGCTTTGTTGGCGTTTCACCAATACAAAATTCAATTGTGTAACAGGGTGAACACCTTCAGCTGTTCCCACTGGCCTCGTGGCCCAAGGGGCGCACAGAAGCTGGAGCTGGAGGCTTTGCGCACTACCGCTTGCTGGAGTGCTGAATGGAGAGACCTGTCCTGCCCCCAGGCCTCTCAGTCTTGCAGTCAGGAGCACTGGCACAGCTCTCCAGGTGACAAAGGCTGTTTCCAGGCCCCCAGGAGCCAGCATCCACCAGCCTGCCAAGCCATAACGGTGTCCACTGCCCTTTTTGCAGATACTTCATAGAATGTGCAATGCTTTCCTGAATCATTAAAAGATGCATGTTCTTCTTCTGTTTTTCAGGGATGATAATGGTGATTTTATTGCTGCTCGTGGCTATTGTGGTTGTTGCAGTCTGGCCAACCAACTGATAGCAATAAAGGGACCACCCGCTGTGACACCAGCCAACGACGGAATAAATGCCCTGCACCCTTTTGGTACGCAAAATCTGCTCTCAATAAATTCCCCCACAGCTCTGAACTCTTGATGTGTGATGCTTCATAGCTCAGCAGCTTGAGAGCTACCTAGAATGTTGGCCCAGTGTAGCCCTCTGATTTTAAACTTGGTCATTTTGATGCTAGCAAGTGGGTCCCTCAAGTAGTCCCTTCCTGACTGCCCCATGGCTGCCAATGGATTCCAGCCACTCCACAGTGTGCTGGGCATCTTGGGAGATGCCGAATTAGTAGACAGTTTGTAACCTTGATGCCCGGTCTGCTTGGAGATGTTACATCCCCATGTAGGAAACAAGTGGACAGTTGTGTGCCTTGTGTGTCCGGGCAGTGAGGCTGCAGTGAGGTTAGGGTCATGCAGAAGGGGTTTCCAAGAAAACACCCCACCAACCTTCCCCGCCTAGGTCACCCCTCGGGGTTCACGTTCTTACTGGCACTGGCTGCTCCTGCCTAGAGATATTTCTGGATTCTGGTAACTGCCTTCTTCCCTGAAAATACATTCTTTTTCATTTGCTTAGTGATAATGAATTCACTTTTCAATGTTGAACGATCTTCCTAAGCAGCCAGAATCCAATCTCTTGCTTGAAGGGTAAGAATAGGGCACAATCAGGTGGTAGAGTCCTGTGTAGGGTTCAAAAACGGAGCGCTCATGAAGTAAGGACAACGCTGCCTGTCTGCCTCCCACACCAGCTCTGGCAGTGTGTATGTGGGTATCACAGAGCCTGGACTTGTGTGCATTGCTCAGAAAGACAGGACGATGGGGCCAGCCCCCGAAGGATGTCAGGCCCTCAGGATGGGTAAGTTAGAAGGGAACAGAAGGCCAAGTATCGTGCCTTCTCTCCGCCCTGTGTGGGAAAGTAGGATGGGAAGCAGGCCTTACTGTGCCTCTGGTAGAAGGAAAAAGAATTAGGGTCAATGACCCAGCAGTTGCCAAAGCACATGATATCACTGAGGAGGGGGACTGTTGGAGGGTCTCCTGTGAACTTTCTCAGGATGATGTGACATGAATTCCCCTCTGGACAGAGACAGACACCAGGAAGAGTGACATGGTACAGCCTGGCATGATGTTATTTCCTGGGATCTTGAGACCAAAGACTCTAGGTGTGCAGGGAAGAGCTGGGTCCAGACACCTGCTTAGATCTCACCACCTCTCCTTGCTCCAGAACTCAGGTCAATGGGACAGCCACTGAGGCCCCTCCAGCAGAGGAAAAGAGGACTCTGGCAATGAAGTGTTCGGTTCAGAAGTGAACCCATCACCTCTGCTCTCAACTCACTGGCCAGAACTAGTATTTAGTCCTACGTCACCACGGGGGACTAGGAAGGTTTGGGAAGGAAGTGTGAATATGCAGTGAACAGCTCCAGGATGACCACACCCCTCACCAGATCTGTGACCACAAACAGGTTCTTTTCTATGCCTCTGTGTTCTCATCTAGAAAAAGGAGACAAGCTCCCCCTACCACCTGTTTGAGCACCGAGTCACAGGTGGAAGCACAGAGCATGTCACTTGACTCAGCTGAGGAAGGGATTCTGCCTCTAATTCACCTGAACCTTGTGGGCCAGATGGTCACCAAATCTGGAGCTCAGGAGCCTGCTTTCAACCTAGTGCAGCAGGACAGAGGCGTGAGGATGTGAAAGTGAGCCAGCCAGGAAAACAAGCTCTCCTGTCAGTTTGGACCCTGGTGCCCAGTGACCTCTTGAGGAGGCCCAGGCCCTTCCAGAAGACTTATCAGGGTGGCTGGGAGGTGTCCACATGGGAGCTGGCACAGGGCTGAGAGGGTGAGGAATTGGACCTCCATGAGCATGAGCCATCTTCAGGGACTCCGACAGTGAAGGGGAGGAGAGAGGAGCAGGTTTGTTTCACACGGGTGTGTTCCTGGAGAGGCCCTGCTGGAGCCTGGGCAAGGGCTTGTGGATGGCAACATGCCCCAGGATGCATTTCCTTGTCAGGGTGGGGCGGTTGCTAATGGATCACCCAATGGAAGACCAGGAATCCTCAGAGCCACATCTTCCAGTCTGTGTGAAACCCCAAATCTGTACAAACTACATCTCCTAGAGCCCCCGGCCCCCACTCTGGGGCTCAGGAGAGGAGGCATTGACAGTCTGTTTGACTTTCTCACCTCCTCTTGACTTGCTCAGCACGGAGCCCCGGCAACTCGTGGGACAACTTTGAACCAGAGCCACAGAGTCCTGGCTCAGTCACACTGAAAGGCCTTTTCAAGCAAAACACCGAGCTGATGTCTACACACAGCAGCTTCTGTTCTTTTGGCTGAATGGGCTCTAGGCCCAGCCCCAGTGTTACTAGCTGTGTGACCCTAGAACAGTTACTTCACTTCTCTGGATCCACAGTCAGAAGAGTGGAAGAAAAGATGCCTGGGAAGTTAAAGAGATAGGACCTACCATTCAGATGTTGGGGAATACAGAGGCTAGGGGCATGCCACACAGAGACCAGCTCCTTCGGTCTTCTTCAAGGCGTGAGTTTCCCAAGTGAGACACCTGTCCTTACCAGACTAGAAGTGGCAAGGAATACCCAGGTGACTGGGATGCAACACTTTTGGGGACCTGTTTTCTTAAGACCAACCTTATAGTGTCCACATGTGGACATGTGGCTCATATAAAAGTAGGTGGCTCATGTAAAAGTAGCATTTGCCAACATGGTTCACAAAGCATAGTCACTCCCACCTCCTGCCAAAGTGTCAGGACCACAGTCCCAGGTGACCTGAAGCAAAGACTGTGAGATTGATGGGTCGAGCTGTAAGCCCTCATAAAGGAGATAAAGAAGATTGGCTAGCCAGGGCCACAGCACCCAGCACCTCGGAAACTTTTTAGTGAAAATAAACTTTATTTAAGATAACAGCGTAAGAATTGTTTAACTTAGCTGATTATTAATTATAAGCTTTTAAAGTCTAGATACCATATAAAGAAATCCAGATCCCCGGGTACAGCTGGTACTTTCATTCCATTTAAACTTTGTGATTATTGATAACTGCACTAAACCTCAGCTGTCATCAGTCGAGGACCATATGCTTCTTTCAAGGAGTCATATGCTTCTGCAAGGTCGGAGTCACAGCCTGCACCTAGCCTCTGGAGATTTGATGTTAAAAACCCTTGTCCTTCTTTTCTCTGCTGCCTGCAGCCAGCCAACCTGCCTGGGTCTGTGCTCTCTTCTGAGCTCAGATCCTGAGAACTTTCCTTCCATGGGGGCTGCTGCAGAATTCCTGACTGTACCTAAGCTTCCAGAACTGTCCACCTGGCTCTCCCCTGACCCATTAAAGAGAACTGCCAGCAGCCAGCTGCAGAGCTGCCGCCTCCCTCCTGGTGGAGAGGTGAGCCTCTTTCCTTCTCCTTCAGGTTCAGAGTTACACTGGCAGCTTTGTGCACAGACTCAAGATCTCTTACCTAGGTGGAGTTTCAAACCTAGCCCCACTGGGGTTAAAGGGGCTTTCTCCCCGTTATTTTAAAAGGGAGCCCAAACTCCTCTTTCCTCTAATTGTACGATTTCACAGACTTCCTCCCAGCTCCGTGCCAGTAACAAAAGGCCTTGACCTCTTTCCAGAAATGCCTCGCTGTCCCACCGAGTCTCCAGTTTGATAAAGCAACAAGTTAATCCGTCTATATACTGTGTTTCTCACTGGCTCTTTCTCCCTTTTCACTCCCCGTTTTTCTTGGCGCATTTATTATATGTCTTTATTTAGTCTTAAAAAGAGAACGGAAAGAGATGTCTGTTAACGAAATCTGAGACTGAGGGGTGTGTCTGCCACGAGTGGGCATCCCCATGCCAGACACTGTCCCTGGGAGACGCAGGGATGAGGGGAAAGAGGCCTCATGAACTGTGAACCTCCCCAATTGCTGCTTGGGCAGCCAGGCAGATCTATTCCTGGCAACCCTCTGGGCTTTGGCCTGGACTGGCCCTGGTCACTGGTGAGGACCTCTCAGTGTCCTTTTACTTCAACATTCCAGTCTCTAAAATGGGCCTTTCCTATTGTCTTGGGCCAGTGCTTCACAGCAACCCAGCACAATTTCCTGTATCGGGTGAGTTGTACAGATGTTACCTCGTCTCCCCAGCCAGAGCTGAAGGCCCTGAGAGGCAGCAGGGCTGACCACGGTGCCCATTCTAATGTGTCTCTGATCAACGGTGTGCTTCCTGCAGGCTTGGGCCTGGGGCCGCAGCTGGCAGCCCAGCTCCTGGCTGTGATGGAGTCCCCAAAGAGACACAGCACACTGAGGCACAGACAACTTTATGGACAGAAAAAAGCCACATCATGAAAGTTCTTAAGAACTGGACACTTGACCTAAAATGACCAAACCTGAGTCTCAAAGTGCCAAGGGCATCACAGACCTCTTAGCCTCAGGGGAGTCTTAAATCTTGCAAATAGTCAAGCTGGCCCGCAGAGGCATACGAGACAACAAAAAAGCCTTACTTTTTCCTTGACCTGTCCAGCCACTTGAAGTCTGCCTCTTGTCCCCCCCTACCCCCACCCCACTGTCAAGCATTGTCTTCAACAAGGACTTGCTCCTAAGATTGAGTGGGCACCTTGAGTGCATGTGCCTACCGGCCCTGGCTTAGAGCACAGCTCCGGGTCCTTGGAGCCTGCCTGTATCTGTCTTGAGAAGCAGCGGATGATGGCACCTCCAGCCAGCTGGCCTCACAGCAAAGGACAGTTTCCTGTGCCTTTGAAGGAGGGACCACTAGAATCCCTGTTGCTGAGGGGCCAGATCAGGTCGGTGGCTGAGCCTTGTCATCCAAACAGCCGGGTGCAGAAATTACAGCTTCCTGGTGCCGATCGGCTCCACTTCGCGTGGCAACACAACATGCTCCTAATGGCTGGATTGTTTATTTAATAACGAGATCACAACCATGTGGAAGTTTAAATATAGCCTCTCCAAAAACCCAGTGAGCTCAGCTCCTGGTGGCTGCATGGTGCTGGCATCTTCCCAGTCTCTGCTCTGCATGAAGCCTTCAGCAAAGGCTGGAGTCTGTTGCAAGGTTTCTTGAGTTTCACCAGTCCTGTCCTAGTTCCTTAGAGTCTCTACTTGGCTTTGAATAGAAGAAACTGGATATGTAAGAGGCAGAAGATTTGCAGGTTCTGAATCAAACAGGTAAGGTCAAAGGTGGCACCTCACCCCACTGCTGCCATATGGGTACATTAGAGGGAACCCCCTTTCCTCCATCCCCTGGGTTCCTCCCCATCCAGGAAGAAGCAAGGATCTGTCCCAGGGGCGGTAACTTGGGGACATAAGCAGACAATTGCGTATGAGAGACTTTTTAGCTCTGCATTCAGAGCCAGCAAGCCCCCAGAACTTTCTAAGCAAACTGTCTTTTTTTAGTAGTTTTTTTTTTTTTTTTTTTTTTTAAGCAAGCTCCTGGGCTGTCTTGCTGGGGAGTTCTGGGGCAAAAGGGCCGTATTCCTTAAGTTGTCAGAAGATTCCATCCCCTCCTCCCCACATGCCCACCACCCATAACTCAGGCCACCAAGAAAGACTGGGAGACAAAACAGTATACAAGAGTTTATTTAATGATATCTGAATTTAGTTCTATCATGTGGGGCCCACGTTACAAGTTCCATCTGGGTCCATTACAGCTCTAACAACCAAAAAAAAAAAAAAAAAAGCTTTAAAAAAATCCACAACTCTTTCCATGTCATTAAATATATTCATATATAATAACCATAATATATTAGTATGCATTGGAAAGGAACACTGACCCAAACAATATGTCATGGTCACAACTAAACATTTACAATTCTGAGTGAACAGAAATCTCCAACACAGGAGGGAGTTGAGGGAGAGTGGGAAGTGCATTTGGGAGCAGGGAAGCATTTCCAATGACACAAGGAGTAGGGCTGGCTTATTTGGGGCAAGGTCAATTTTGATACCCCTAGGGTATGGCATGGCTATGGCCCACGGGAGTGTCTGTCCACAAACCGTGATCCAGTGGCCCATCCATGAGTCTGTCCATGCTCTTGGCTCTGGGAGTTTGTGGGGAGGGGGGGTCTTTTAAGTGTTGGGACCCTGAAAGAACCATTTCCTAGTCCCTAAGGGTCTCTTCTTGACTTCAGTCTCATTGAACCTGGGCAATTCCAAGAAAGTCTGTACCCAGGGCCTGCAGGCTACCACTGAGGCACAGGCCCTGGGCTTTCACTCCACCTGTCTGTCCCTCCTACTCAAAGAAACCTAAGGTTGTTGCCTCTTGGTCTGCTTTCCGTGGACAGAGGCCACAGGGAGGGACAGCGCCATTGCCTTCGGCCTTCCACAGTGTGAGTAAAATAGGCAGCTCTTGCGTACCAGACCACCCACCTGGTAAGAAAAAGGACACTGGGGGAAGCTGTTTTAAGAACAAAATAAGGACTAATCTGGTGTTTTTCTTCCAACACCTACATATCACAATTCTGGTTAATACACTCTTCAAATCTAGGTCCGTTTTACATCCCTTCCTAACTATACAAACCGGAACACCTCGATTCCTATTTCCCTCTCTTCCCTGGGATAGGGACAGAGGTGGAAAAGGGATGTTGGCCTGAAGCTGGGTCTCCTCTGTGGAGGTCAGAGTAGAGTAGGAATGGACTGAGTTCTGGCTGAGTCCATAAGGAAAGTGTGGCGGGGGGGGGGGGCAGCCTGTGAAAAATGATGCAATCCCAACAGTGTCCTTGTTCCTGATCTGGCCACCCTGACATCGTCTCCAAGGGCTAGGTCACTGGGTAGATGGCCTAGGCCCTGGTGCGGGGGGGTGGCTGAGCTGGAGGGTGACAATGGTTGGATTTTCAGCAAGCTGCCTTGTTATTTGGCAGGCCCCTGGTTCCATTGCTGAGGAGGCCTAGGAACACCAGTGCAAGCCCCTCACCGGACACAGGGCAAGATTCAGATATCCAGGGTGGGATGCGGTGGAGCTATGCTGGTGAGATAAACAACTGCCCTCATCAGCCTGCCAGACTGGATCTCAGTGCCTGGAGAGGTCCAGTCCTTGACCCTCAGCCACCGAATTAAGATTCAGGGAAGCCCAATGCCCTTTCCCAGGGCAGATCTATCTTCTTACTGACCTTGAGGTGCCTCTGCCAGTTGCTCCTGGAATCCCTCAGCCCACTCCCTGCACTTGAAGCAGGAAAACCACCTTTCTAGAACCTCAGGAACGCTAAAGACTTGCGTAGGCTGTCCTTGTTTCCTGCTGCACCCACCACTCTTCTGAAGACGTTAGTGTACTGTTCCCCCGTCTCACCCCGAGTGCTTACTCTGCAGGCTAGATTCAATGTCCTCAAGAGGCAGCTTCTAGGGTCTCTGTGGCAACTCAGCCTTGGGCACCCCGCATAGCCTGCTGGGTAAGTTCCAGGGGTAGCACAGCCCACAGTCAGAAAGCCTGGTTCTGGGATCTGAGTCTCAGTGCTGTCACATATTTGCTGTGTAACTTTGGCCACACACATGCCAGTTTCCCTGTTGGTGAAAATGGGGGCAAGAGACCCTGTTCCAGAGGACAGGCTAGGGACATGAAGGTAAAGTGCCTGGCACGCAGCAGGTGCTCAGTAAATGGCAGTGGTGACGCGGGCAGAAATAGAGGAAGGAAAGGGAAGCGAGCTTCATCCTTGGTATGGCCCTGTAAGCAGCCAACCTCTAGCAGGGAAAATAAAACCAATTTCCTGACTGAGAGGGGAGCCAGGCCCCTCAGTCAGCTGCCCAGTGTGAAGATGGGGCCAGAAGCCCCAGGGCAGTGCAGAGAGCTCAGGAAGGCAGGAGCCGAGAGGCACCAGAGCACAGGAACAGGTCCTGCGAGGCAGCCAGACCAAAAAGTCTGGGGCTGCCTGCTTGAGGACAGTCTCTAGGAGGCTTTGGGAAGGAGGGCTGGGCCCAGTGGAAGGCACAGGGGGTCTTCAAAATGAGGACGGCTAGAAAAAAGTGGGTGAAGTGCTGCCCAGGTTAGAGGAAGACAGCTCTGAGGGCAGCCCCCGAGCCATCTTGGGTAGCCACTTCTCCTCCCTTAGGAGCCAACATCGAGGGCAGAGCAGGAAGCGGTCATGGGTGCCCAGGAACATGGCCATGCCTGGCCCTGGTGCCTAGGACCTGGGCACTTTGGCTGAGCCAGCGAACCATGTCCTGACTCAAGCAAGCCCAGCCCAACTGCCTTGCAGCCGGCATGCCCGTCCAGGCCCTCTCCAGCTGTTGACACTGCTGAGGGGCCTTATGGGAGCTGATGTCATTACACAAATAGTGTCATTGCTGTAAACTCAGCCAGTGCTCCTTCCCCCTCCCCTGGAAAATGTCATAAAAGGGGCTGGTTCCAAGTTTCCAAAAAGGAAACACTCTGGGAGGTTTTGCCTTCGTACTGCCTCCTCCCCCAGGCAGCTCCAGCATGAGGCAGTGACCACCCGGCTTGGGCTTCTCAAGGGTGTCCTTAGGCCCACTGCCCTCAGGATGGGCCAGAACCCTGGGCCAGTCCAGGCAGGCACCCACAGGGGCCTTCTCTCCCCCCACCCCACCCAGGACCAACCCAGCAGGTGGCCGTGCAGACCAGAGGCCCCATGAAGACTGCTGGCTAGACAGGCTGCTCCCACCCCCCAGTGCCACCCCTGCCTTTCAGATGGGGCCCAGGGTGTCATAGCTAGGAGAGGAAGGAGGAGGTTTTATCTTTTGGTGGTTGGGCTTGCTCAGAGCCCCTGCCCAGGCTGCTGGCCTGCAATTTCACAGTTCTCCTCACGCCCCCTTCTGCATTACCAACAACGCCAAGCTCTGTGGCCCCATCCGTGCCACTCAGTGCCGTGCCTCAGGCCCCAGGGCAGGGTTAGCTCCCAGCCCCTCCACGGTGACCCCACCTAGCCCTAGGGAAGCGCATTTCTGCTCTGGAAGGAGCCCCGTGAGGTAGCTACGTCTGGTCCTCATTTCTCCAGGGCCTGGCCTGCTGCGCACCCTGCCCTGAGTGTGCATGCACTTGGCTCCCGCTAGGGGTGCACAGAGTGGGGCTGGGGGAGGGGCCATCGAGGGCCCCGCCCCCGCTGTAGCCCCGCCCCCACCCTCCCCCCTCCCGGGAAAGCCCTCATGGGCCAAGTCCACCTTGGCAGCCATCAGCTGCACGTACTCAGCTCACGCTCAGCCGGGCCGCGTCCCGAGCCCAGCGTGCTGCTGCGTGTGCGTTAGGCCTTCTTGCACTTGCCCTTCTTTTCACGCTGCTGGAACTTGCGCAGCCGCCGCGCCCACGTGTCCCGCCACTGGATCACCAGGCTACTCTTGTCAGCAACGATGCCACTCTGGTCGGGTGAGTCCTCGGCGTTGCCCAGCAGTAGGTACTTCTTGAGGGGCTTGATTTTGGGGCACTTGCAGGCGATGTCACGCGAGCGGATCCATAGGCTCTGGTCACCACGGCGGATGCGGCTGGTGCCTTGCTTGTACACGGAGATGATGTTCACCGTGAACTTCCACCAGTCCCCTGCCTTGTCTGCCTTCAGAATGTGGATCTGGACAGCTGCAAGAAAGCACAGGCAGGCCAGTGGGCTACGGGCAGGAAGTACAGCCAGGGTTCCCAGCTTCTGGGGCCAGGTGCGTCCTACCTGCCCCTCCCTCTCCAACAGCCTGGAGAAAAGGAAAGGGAGACCTGGAGCTGGGAAGTGATTGTAGAGGATACTCCAAGAGACAATGGGCAGGTAAAAGCAAAATGGATCCTGGCCAAGGCCACTGCTCCAAGCTTTACCTCCTATTATGAAGGTACCCTCCAAGTGCCTACCGAGACAGGTCCCCTCTTGGCCATTGCTTTGGTCTAGTATATCTATCAAGGCCAGGTGAAGCCTACAGGAACTGACCATGCCCCCAGCACTCTGAGGGCACCTGCTCTGGGCAGATGGACCTTGTACAGTGACAGTGCAGGCCATTCCTCCTAGGCTGGAGGCGTCCTCTTCCTCAACTCTGTACCTCCAAAGGCCACAATCACTTAACATCAAGCCTCATGACACCCTGGGATACATAGCTTTGATTTCTACCCAGACTAAGCACAACATCATGGGGCACCAATACCTAGGTATCAAAGAGGATAACCTGGTTTTGGATTATGCCTTTTCTAGAATCCTGAGTCCTGGTACTGTTCTGCCATTCCTCTTCCTTCCAGTTACCTGATGCAGGAGTTAGTGGGGGTGTGCATCAGAATTCCCTCAATGGCTTCCAAAAACAGTGTTAATGCCACCCCAGATTCTGACTGATCGGAGGTAGGTGGGGCCCAGAAAACCCATTTCCCACCGATCCCCCTAGACATCTAGACATGAAGGATCAGTGCCCTAGTGTGGGCTTACAGCTGTTACTCCTGCAGGACAGTAAGGGCTAATTTAAAAATAGGAGGAAGTGCTTTTAAAAAGTGGGGAGGGGGGGAGTAAGAAGCTTTCTGAAACACCAGGTTAAAGCAAGTCCTGGGTTTCCTTTCTACCAAACAGGTGTGGGATGGTTTCCTAACCACCCTGACTGAAGAGCCCTGTGGGTCATGCTTCCTGATATGGGGAGCAGCTCTCAACGGTACTCACCTCCCTCCAGGGGCAACTTGCTTGGCCACCTTCCTCATCCCCGCTTTCCCTTGCTGAGCCCACCCGCTACGCTCTGTACTCTTCTTCATCCCACTGAGCAGGGAAGTTTGTCTCCTGGGCCAGGGCAACAATTTGAAGAAAGTAACACCCAGGCAGCCTCTGGCTTCAGCTACCATAAAGGCGCATCCCCACAGGAGGCCAAGTGGTCATCACCTTCCCATGTAACAGCTGCAAGCAGGGCACCCACCCAGAGGTCTGCCCAATCTCTCTCAGGAGACCACTCAGCCACCCCCAGGGGACCTCCCACCTCCTCTCCTGTGCCCACACTGGGCCCAGTGTAATGGGGAGGGACGAGGATGGCTGAGCGCGGGAGAGCACCAAATGCTGTCCAGCTTGATCCTCCTGGAAGAAGGGAAGTGGCGGGTTTTCCCATATTTTCATTTCAGTTGTTCCTGGGCATCCTGAACTTTGCACTCCAGTCTGAGGGCTCCAAAGAATAGCTGCCATGGCAACCGTTTCCATGTTTTTGTCACCAAGGTTCTCAACACTCAGTGTGAACTCTGAGGGTGGGGGTGGGGGGAGCCCTCCAGCCCAGAGGAGTGGCTGGGCTGTGTGGATTTGACTGTGCAGACGAAGGTCACCGTGGCAACTGAGTGCCCCTCAGCTAAGCAATGGGGGAACCACCCCCGACGTCCCTAAGAGCCTCGGTTTCCTCTCTCCAGGACTGAGCTGAATACAGAATGAGCCTCCCTAGGGATAGGGCTGTTTCCCTGCATGGTACTTCAGACCTCTGGCCCAGCCACAGTGTCCTCCCACCAGGCATCGGCTGGGCCGGCCCAACCAGGATGCTATAGAGGCAGCTCGGGCTGGGGCCCCGAAACTACGCAGCCCTGATCCCAGGCCCCAGTCATCCACCGGTGATAGGGGAGGGATTATACACGCCACCAGTTCCTATATTGAAGCCTTGACTCCTTATTTTAGAGACAAGGTCCTTACAAAGCTAATTAAGATGAGGTCAGGAGGGTGGTCCCTAATCCAATAGGACTGGTATTCTTGTAGGGATCAGGGCACAGACACAGGGATGACCCCGTGAGGATACAAGGCAAAGGCGGCCATCTACAAACCAAGGAGCAAGACCTCAGGAGAAAACAGCTCTGCCGACGCCTTGATTTCAGACCCATGGCCTCCAGAATCTTGAGAAAAAAACTCTTTGTTGTTTAAGCCACTCAGTCGTGACACCGTGCTCTGACAATCTGGGAAACCAATACAATGAATTGAGGACTCTGGGTCTTGGCCTCAGCCCAGGGCAGGCTGCTAGGGTCTCTCAGCTTTGCTGAGGATGAGCCGCCTGGACAAGGTCTAGCCTTGGACTGGTACCCCAGGGTGGCCTTCTTACGCCCTGGAAGACCTGCAAGCATGTGGCCCTTCATAGCAGAAGGGCTGACAACCTCTCCTCTCCCCAGCCTTAGCGACACGTTTAACACGGAGGGCACCTCACTATCCTCAAGAACCCAGATAAAGCAATGGATGCTGGTCAGTTGGGACAAAGCCTCTGGCCTCCTACTACACCTAGCAGATCCCAGCTACTCCCTGGGTGGGAGCTGCCCCGACTGTAGGGTGAGACAGCCCAGGCCCGGGGGCGGGTGGTGGTAGGATTCATGTGATTTTGCTGGAAAAAATCCACATTTCTGCTGCCCTTGGCAATACCTTTGCACATTACACAGCCCACCAAGTATGAGCGAGCTGCACACGCAGTGCATAGGCCAAGTCCCCACCGTGCGCCACAGCTGAAAATATTCAAAATACACATTGCAAGGGTGACCTCAAACGGACTTGCTCCACACGCGCTCCTACAGCCACACAGCATACCACCAGGGCTGCCGCCACCCCAGCCAGCTGCTGGCTCAGAGCAGGGAATGACCAGGGTCACTGAGCTATAAGAGCCTGGGGTCCCCACCAACCCAGATATGCCTATGATATCACCCATCCAGGGGACTGGGCACGGTGAGCTTTAGGCAGCTCTGCCCATCCCAGGCCCGTAGCCCCCAAGGACAGGCCTCTTACACCCTCCTCTGGTCTTCACGTCCGTGTCCCTCCCAGATTCCTAGGTTGGAACCTAATACCCAACTTGAGAGTATTAAAAGGTGGGGTCATGGGAAGTGACTAAGTTCTAAGGCTCCACCCTCATGAACAGGATTAATACCCTTATAAAAGAGGATCAAGTGATCTCCCTGCCCCTCCTATCACATGAGGCCAGGGCAATGAGGTGACGCCTTTGAAGCAGAGAGCAAGCCTCACCAGATAACGAGACTGCTGGCACCTTGCTCTGGGACCTCCCAGCCTCAGAACTGTGAGTAGTAAGTTTCTATGGTTTATAATGACCCAGTCTAATTAATTTTGTTACGGCAGCCCCGGATAGACTAAAACACACACAGTGAAACACCCCAGGCCACCAGCCTTGGCCACCTACCCTCCTTTCACTGATGTCCTAAAAGTTGTCCTCAACAAGACTAGCACCTCTGGCGAGGATCCCCCACCCTCTGATTAGAAAGGGTGGAGATGAGATGAACCTCAGGAAGGCAGACCATGAAATGAGCCCGGGGAGATGGGAGACACGCTCCTCAGTGCCCTCTGGTTGAGAGGAAGTGTGGGGGGGAGCCATAAGGCAGTTGTCGTTCTCTGAAGTGGAGACAGAAGAGTCCCCGAGGCAGATGCTGGCAGGGGACCCCCACTGGCTGGTTCTTTTGGCCCTACTATAAACAAGAAATGGCTCCATCTCAGGGCTGCAGATCTACCCTCCCCTTCTCCAAGTAACTCCTGGCTCACCACATAAAATAAGGGCTCAGCCCTAGCAGCTGCTACTGGTGAGCTTTACTTTGTTCCTTAGCAGAAATCCTGCTGTGGCTCAAGGAGGAGGGGGTAACTAGGAAATAGGCCCAGGGCAGATGAGGTGCCTTGAGCCACTTCCCTCTTGATCAAAGAGGGCAGAATTCAACCTGCTACCTGCCCCACCCCTGGCTGCAGTGCAAGGCACCGACATGTCCTTCTACAGGAGCAGAGGGTGCCTCAACCTCCCTGGAGTCCCAGCACTGGGGAAATTCCAGGACAACAAAGGCAACTTCCCAAGTGGGGAGCTCCAGGTCACATCCTGTACTTGAACTCCTCCATTGGAGGGGTCTTGCTGTGCACCTATGGCAGCCCCATCCTCTGCCCAGTGCCCTAGCTCGCTCAAAAACCCGACTTCCTCCTTTCCCAGCTCTAGGCCTTCCAAACCTGGCACTGTACCACCCTGGAGCTGACCCACGCTCCTGAGGTTTGGGGAACTCTGGCTAAGATCAAAGCACCCGACCTGGGCCGGGTCCTAGGAACGCTGTCCATATGAGAAAGAAGCTGCTCAGCCACTGCCTGCTGGAACCAATCCTTAGAGGAAAAGGCCCAGCATGGGCTAAGCCACCTGCTGGAGGGACCCCGGGGAAGAGTTTCCCCTGACAAGGCCTCTGCAGGGAGGCTTCCTGCCGCTTGGAGGTCTCCTAGATTTATGGGCTGTCCAGATGGGCCCCCAGGGGCCTCCTAGTAGCTGCCCCTCACAAGGAGGCTTGGGTGGTTGACCCTTACTCCCTGGCGCAGCCTGTTGGGTGGGTCCAGCTTGGGAAGGCTTGTCACCCATCTGCCCCAAAACAGCGGCCAGGATGAGCGGGGGAGGACACGAACCCCACAGAAACCATTAAAACGGTGCAGCCCTGTAAATCTCTCAGCTCAGAAAGCGAGTCATGAGCCGCAGCTGTTTCCATAAAATGCAGCTCTGACCACACTCTCCCGGGTCCAGCCAAGCCTGGTTCCCTGGGCTCATCTATCTGCCCAAAGAAGCAGCAGGTCCCTGCTGAGAGGCTGGTCTCAAAGCAGCCCTGCCTCGTTTCCATCACTGAAGCAAAGGATCACCACAGCCGAGCCCAGTCAC